GATACTTTCCGGCATGACGTCAAATGACGCGATTAACCTCGTGATGCCCCAGTGGGCGTGATACTGCGACACGCCCACTGGGGTATACATGTAGCAGGGACCTCAGCTGTCTGGGTTGTTGGAAGTCCCCTTTAGCTTACTCGGCTGGTTCCCTGTTGCATTACATCAGTGTCCCAGGTTTGCACCCAGCTGTTGCGGGATGAGCCGGCAGGGTGGGGTGGTGAGGGCACGAGCCAGCACGGAACTGCGTTGGTCACAACAGCACATGTTAAACTATCTGAAATCCATAAAACATTCATTTAAATAGTTTTATTGTTCCAACTGAACACGTTTCTAAGTGAAATAATTAATTAAAACCAGCACAAAAAAAACTGAAAGCTAAAATGTCAGTTGCATAATCATTCTCTCTCCTTGCAAGGTACTGTACACTAAGCAGCTATAATTAACACATTTCATTATGCAGCAATACTCACATGCTTAAGCTACTTCTTAAATGCAGAACTTAAATACTCTGGACTAAACAGGAGTCTCAGAATGTATGTGAATAAGACCCAAATAGATTCAAAGGGTTAAATTTTAGGAGAATGCTGCAAATATAAATTTAGTGTTATTTTGCCGTCTTATATAATGAAATCTGGAGTGTGTGTGTCTTGCCAAAGAATGGTAAACAGTGTATTCAAGGGCTGGAAATCTTTGGAACTTAAAGTTAAAAGGAATTTTCGGCTATATTTCAAGCCAACAATGCCAGCATCACACGCACCCCAGCCATGGGGTCCTTAGAAAACAGTACCAGCAAAGCAAGTACCTTCATGAGTTTCATCATATCGTTGCTGAACATCCAGCACTTGTACAGTTGTCAGTGAGAAAAGATGTACGACATAAAACATAGAAACATGAAAACAAAATAAAGAAATAAAACATAGAACATAAAAATTCTTAATAATAAAATGATAAAAAGTCAGGAAAAGGAGGAGAGGAAAAAGAGCTGCTGCCAGTCGCTATAGAGCAGCGCCCATGCTGGGATATAAGGGACATATACATTTTCCTCACATTTACTTTGACAGATCTCTGTCATAGTTGAAACTGAAATAATATATATGGTAACGATTCATTCAAGAGGGAATACCTACATGAGATTTCCAAAACAAAGCTCTATATTTTCAGAAAAGCATACAATGAAGGAATGAGACAATACTTTAAGCAGTAAGGCTAAAAAAGACACATACAATTGTACATATAATTTTTGTCAATCCATATTGCATATTGCAGTTCTCAAATCAGTCCAGTAAACTGCAAAAAAATACAGTCCATGTTCCTAATGGACTAAATACCCTACTCTTATATTGAAGTTGAAATAACTTTATCTTACAGAGGCATGTACAAAAAAAAATTGACTAAACTACCCAGAATTCTTAAAGACACCAATAAATCAATCTAATAGATTTCATTACAATCAACAGAGAAAAAACACAACACATGGAGACACAGTTGGAAACTGTGGAAAGGTGCATTTAAAATAAAAAACATTTTTTTACACAAAAGATTAGGATTACAGAACAAGTTACTCAGCCATGTTGAAGCCAATAGCATCACATATTTAACACCTAATTTTCTCAAATAGCTACTACCAAACAAGTCGGATAGAACCAAATGGACTCCATTTCATTTCCATTTATTGTCCAAAATATAACTATTAACTGGTGCAGTTATTAAAAGTAAGAAGACAAGGATGACCGTGTTTTGTTGCAGGTTTTTCATTTTTTTCTAATCTCATCTCATTTTCTAACAGCTCCTAGGTTGTGGTGGTAAAATTCTGAGCAGGGAAGACCAGACTACTCTTTCCACGGCTCCACCTGAGGGATTCCCAAGCTATACCAGACCAGCTCCCATTTCAGCATCTTCTCGGTCTACCCTGGGGTCCTCCTGGGTTCCTACTCTCCAATAGCAAGTAACCAGTCCATATTAAAATTCAGTTTAAGTTCCACTATTGAAATGGTTTGTGGTTTAGCAGTTGTTCCTAAACAGAAAACCTATGTTAAGTCTCAAGACATATACAGTATGTGGGATAGCATTTTTTTTGTTCATTCTGGACAACAGGATAGAATTCAGAGCTTCCCACCTTGAGTTTGTATTACGTTGTGGAAATAAACTACTTAGTTTGGTAACCTAATAATTTTGCTAATCCAAATATTTTAAAATGTTAAGTACTGTACTTGTTAAGTACAAGTAATGTGTAGTACTTGTTGTCTAATTAAAGGACAGTGTCTCAAATTATAAAACAGAAACCTATTCATATATACTTTTACCTGGGGGACACCCATAGGGAGCAATATATCAATTGTTAAGGTCTTAAAGAGTGTTGTCTAATATGCTGGTTCATGTCTTTTTATTTACTGGTATTCCCATATGTTTGTGTCCTAAAACCCACTTCATTCATATAGGCATGACAGGAAATCAGACCAAGACAAATATTATTGTACTGTAATGGCGAGAGTCACTTCAAAACTGCTGTCAGAGTAAAAACATGCTCTAAATTCCTGCATTGACTGTTGGTTAGATATTTAAATAAGGTCTCTCAATACAATCCGCAAACATTGTGTCATGAAGGTTATAGTAGTTCAGTTTGGCAGCTGCGTCAGCATGCGTAGGCTGCAAAGGAACAAGTAATAGGTTTATTCCATGCTGAAAAGAGAAGAAAGAAAACACAAGGTTTTGGCCGTGGAGCCTTCTTCAGGTGTGAGCATTTTTCTTGGCTCACACCTGAAGAAGCCTCCATGGCCGAAACATTGTGTTTTCTTTTTTATCTTTTCAGCATGGAGTAAACCTGTCATGAATGTTAATTTAATTAGTTATAATTAGTTGATCATTTTATTTATTATTTCATTATTAGATCCATTTCCTTTAAATACTTCACTCGCCTTTCACTCAAGGCTCTGTCATTGGATTGCTACCTCATTTTTTTTGGGGGGGGGCAGTTATCGTCTTCTGTATTTTTTCTTCTTCCTTGGTTGTTTCAGTGTTTCCCTTGTTACTAACCACTACCACTTTGCAGCACTGAGTGTTGGGTTTTGTGTTGCATGTCTTTGTTTTCTTTTTTGGACACCTTTTTGTTGCTGTGTTCTCCACTTTACCGTTGCCTGAGACCTGCTTGGGAGTTTTCAGACATGACCTTTTTTCCACCTCCATTACAGATTGACAGAAGGAGAGCTTAGTGGAAGCCAGTTAACTGTCCCAGGTACTGGCACGGCATGGTGGTGCTTCAGGTGCAGGACGTGTGCACCATGGAGCTGGCAAGGTTAAAAGACACAGGAGACAGATACTACAGATATTAATTTCCACCAACAGTCTTCCTGACATACAGAGTCTGCACCCCCTACAACCTCACTCGCTTCTTCAAATACATCCTCCCTTGATGCCAACACTGCATTATGCTACCAAGCATCTAATCTTTGTCCTCCTCAGCCCTATTCAGGTGATCCAGAAGGGTGTAAGTGTTTTTGATATCATGTGAAATAATTTTTGCTGTCCAAACATCTTCTTTTCCCACTGATCAGGGGAAGATGGCTTAAATAGTTTTACAACTTTTAGATGAAGCCTTGGCCTGGGCCAAGACTTGGTAAGTAAATCTTAAATTTTAACCACCCATTTGTTGAAATAACCTACTGTACCTAGCTGAGAAGCCTGTTTGTTATCCATGACCTTTTTGCATAAACAAGCATTTTATATTCCCCTTCCTAATAAAAAAAAAGAACTTTTTTGTTTCCAATTGTATTCCCTTGTCCTTGTTTTCAAAAATCATTTGAAATCTATCTTTTCAACTAATATGAAAGGGCAACCTTTCATATTAGTTGCACAAATTTCTTCAGCAATTTTTTAGACAGTCATTAATTTGTATGTAAATATCACTAACAATCTCTGAAACTTAAGTTAACCCACAGAGAACAAAAAAGATAAAGGACTTTTAATTTTAAAACAATAATTGTAAGCAATTAGGAAGAAATCGCCCTTTTTGATGTGATAAAATCCTGACACAGCACTGGCTTCAACTCCAGCGGTTAACAGAGTCCTTACTGTTGTTATGGATAATTCCCGCTTCAGTGGCCATGTGGAAGAACAATCCCCTCTGCTGGATAAGGCTACTAGGAGAGTCGAACTCCATGACCCTACCCCCATCCAAAACCAGCACCCTGCAACAGCATAGAAGAAAGACATTATTTAAACACATTTCTTGTCTACCAAAATCAGGGCTTAATCAGGAGAGTGCCCCACTCTCCCTCACCTATACACTTTCAGGATAGTCAGGTGAAATAACTTTCTAGACAGTAGTAAAATACAGATGCAGCCATTCAAAATGGGTGAGGTATTTCACGGCATACCGCGACACGCCCACCGGGGTATCACGCGGTATCACGTGTGTCACGTGACTAGCTATCCGGCGTCGCCTTGTAAAACCGCCAGGGGGAGCTTAACCTCTCATGTACAAGAAAAAAATACACACCAGTATTGCATTTCTCCCT